GGATGAAGCCAGGAGAAAGAAGCTTCTTCTGGATCTCCCAAGTAGGTGCAGGGGCCCAAGCACTTGGGCCATCCTCCACTGCTTTCCCAGGCCATAGCAGAGCTGGATCAGAAGCAGAACAGCTGGTGCCTACATGGGAAGCCTGCGCTGCAGGCTGGGGCTTTAACCTGCTACGCTGTAGTGCTGGCCCTTCTGTAGGGATTTTGAAGCTAACTTAAAAGAGCATTATTCACAGAAAGACGGGCAGGCTTAAGGAAATCAATAAAGTATTTTAGGGAAGCAGGAAGTCCCAAGTGCCATCTCAAACTTTGAGAAGCCTATAGAACTCCTGGAGGAAAGACCTAGAATCCCGAAGCTTTAGTAGAGAGCAAGGGAAGAAAAAGCCTGAACCTCTTCCCTCTAGTTCTTATTGCCTACTAATGCCTTTAATAGTTCAACACAGAAGAAAGCTGGAGGGCAAGAGAACAAGGCTGATGCATGCCGTTACTAAGGATCAGGACTCCTCCGCACAGAGCAGGGAAGAGATGGGAAAAAAATAGATGGGGTGAAGCGGGGTGGACAAATGGGAGTACTACCCAATTAACTTACTCCGGGTCCTCTATACAGAAACTTAAGGCAAGCTAATTTAAATCTCAGTGATGTTTCTTTAGCACCCTTTCCATAGCTAATTGTGTTAAAATGCCTATATTAGAGCCATACTGTCCAGCCCTTTTCACATTAAAGCACAAGGCAATGAGCCAAAGTGAATTTGGGAGGCATGTATAAAACACTTGGTGAAAAAAAAATTGCACTTTTGTTGTGTGATGATATAAAGGCAGATGATTTTAAATATTAACTTCTGTGAAAATTCAAAACATCTAAACTCCGAATTTTGTTGAGAAAATGAAATTTGCTTATTGAATGCAATTTTTAAAGGGTATGGTTTCTAATATCTGTTCATACTTGCTATTATGTGTGTTTTAAATATTGGCTTTTTAAAAAGCTTTATTTATTTATTTATTTGAAAGGCAGAGTTACAGAGAGGCAGAGGCATCTAGAGAAAGAGAGGTCTTCCATCCTCTGGTTCACTCCCCAAATACCCACAACAGATGCAGCTGGGCATTTCTGAAACCAGGAGGCAGGAGCTTCTTCTGGATTTCCCACGCTGGTGCAGGGGCCCAAGCACTTGGGCCATCTTCCGCTGCGTTCCCAGGTCACAGCAGAGAGCTGGATCAGAAGTGGAGCAGCCAGGACTCAAACTGGTGCCCTTATGGAATGCTGGCACTGCAGGTCTACCCACTATGCCACAGCACCAGCCCCCATGAATGCAACTTTTTAATGTTAGTTTATATTTTTGCAATGATCAGTTCTAATTCCTAATCAAGACTTTTAAAAAAGTTCTCTTCACATACTTGAGTCACCACTGACTAAAAGTGTTGTTGATAAAATAGGTAAAACCATTTTGAGTAGCTATGAAACCATTAATCATGAGGTTATTTTTAAATCAGGATCACAGCAGCCAGGACTTGAACCAATGCTACAATATGAGATGCCAACATGACAAGCACCATTTAACCCACTGTACCATAGTGCCATCCCCACAGATTTAGTCTGAGGGCTATCTTAATCTAGTTTTTCTTTGTAGTTCTGAGATTGTATTGACCCTGGAAAAGGTTTGAGTCCTGGCTGCTCCACTTCCCATCCAGCTCCTTGCTGGTGGCCTGGGAAAGGCAGTAGAAGATGGACCAAGTTCTTGGGCTCCTGTCATCCATGTGGGAGACCCAAAGGAAGCTCCTGTTCCTGGCTTCATCCTGGCCCAGCCCTGGCCATTGTGGCCATCTGGCAAGTGAACCATTGGATAGAAGATTTCTCTCTGACTCTTCTTATCTCTGTAACTCTGCCTTTCAAATAAATAAATAATTTTTTTTAAATTGTTACACATAGATAGGCTTAAGGCTATCCTAATTTACTGAATTAATGGGCTTGTGAATTAACATGATTGACTCAAAATCATCAGGCTCTCTCCACTGAGTTGAATCAGTATCTCAAATTTCACTGATCTTATGCTATCAAAGGAGGGAGGGTAGAAGAAGTATTAAAAGTCACAATATCCACTCCGGTAATTTATATTTGTTATCTCATGTAATCCTCTCCCTTGACCTATGAGGCAGGTTCTTTGTGAAGCCCTGTTTTTATGATGCTTAGTTGTTTATGTTGCTTAACTGCCACAGTTTTAGGGTAATTTTGTTTTAATAAAATATCCTAAAATTTGTCCTACCATTCTCTGTCCCAATGTTCCATATTCTAGGAATGTAAAGAACACATGGGAGAATTTGTTCCTGGTATACATAGCACACACTACATACATGCGTGCCCTTATATGTTTTATCTTATTTTTCTCACTTGGGTTTTCCTCTATACAATGATTGTTCTAACACTTTGAGGCCTATATCAAATATCAGTGCCCTGAAAAGCCTGTCCACTCCTCTCCTGTCAGTTTACATCTGGTCTCTTATAGCTTTAATCTTGTAATTTTTAAAATAAATGAAATCTAACCCGAATTCTAATTAAGTGTATTTGTGTCCTTCCTTATTTTTCCTCAAGAATGTAGATTTCTTGAAAGGAGAGGCCTCATCCTAATAATTTCAACCTCCAGTGCTTTACTTAGTTTCTTAAAATGCCCTAAATGTTGTTCAATTAAATAGAACAATGAGTAAAAAGTCTAAACTCTTTCTTCAAAAGAGGAAACCTTCATAGTTATATTTATTTTTAATAAAAATAGGCTAAAAGTTCTGAAATATATAGGATTTCTAGATTGTAATGCTCAAGCAAGAATTTGAAACAAAATCAAAATTAATCTGTACAATTCTTGCTCTATACTCTCATCCCCATCCCAAACAGTAGCTTTGTTTCAACTTCTTCCACATTGTTGAATGAGTGTGGTTCTCACAACACAGGTACCCGAAAAAAAAAAAAAAAAAACCCAAAGCAAAACTAATGTTTCCATGGTTTTGCAAGATTTTCCCAATATTCATCTTTGAGCATTCAGTTGAAAAACAAGTTTTTAATTTTCTTTTTAAAGACTTATTCATTTGAAATGCAGAGTTACAGACAGGGAGGGCAAGAAAGAGATATAGAGAGTGATCTTCCATCCATTGGTTCATTCCTCAAATGGCTACAATGGCCAGCGCTAGGCCAGGCTAAAGCTAGGGGTTAAGAGCTTCATCCCACATTTATATGTGGTTGCAGGGGCTTGGGCCATCTTCTGCTGCTTTTCCTTGTGCACTAGCAGGGACCTGGATTGGAAGTGGAGCAGCTGGGACTCAGATGGGATGCCAACGTTGCAGGCAGCAGCTTGATCTGTTATACCACAATGCTAGTCCCGTAAATCAGTTTTTTGAAGAGGCTTTCCCTGTCTTCTAAGATTTGGTTACCCTACTTAATTATACCTTTCTGTCACATTTGAGGTCATTCATTTAGCATCTCTCTTAAATGGTAAAAGCTAACTTCTCCACTGGGGCAATGGCTGTGCTTTATTTGCCTAAATCTGCAGCACTTCAAGCTTTGGTAACATAATGTGGTCGATACACGAATTGTACTGCATTGATTAGTAATGCCAGAACATTTGTTAAAGGAAGGCTGTACATTTGTATCTAAGTTTCTAGTAGTCAAGATAAAGAATTTTAAGATTCATGGTATTCTTAGGGTAAAATAATGTAACTACTCAGGACCAAAAAAAGAGTTTGGCCTAAATGATAAACATTAAATAATTATACTAAATTAACAAGTGTGAACACCACTATTTTAATCATGAATTTTTACAGGTGTGAAAATGTTCATTTTATAAGTGAGAAATGACTTTTTCCCCTTCTAAATTTTTTACACATAAATTTATCTTTTTGTTAAAAAACAAAAATGGGCAGGTACTTGGCATAGCAGCTAACATGCTCCTTGTGATGTCTGCACTTACGGAGTGCCTGGGTTCAAGCCCTAACACCACTCCTCATTGTAGCTCCTTGGGAATGCACCCCTTGGTAGGCAACAAATGACAGCCCAAATAGTTCTGTCCCTGCCAACGGCATGGGAGATCTTTATTGAGCTTCTGGCTCCTGGTTTCCACCTGGCCCAGCCCCAGGTGTTGCTGGCATTTGGAAAGTGAACCAGGAGATGAGATATCTCTGTCTGTCTCTCTCTCAGACTTTCAAATAAATAAATAATTTTTCTAAATTATCAAAATATTTTTGCCTATTTCTTAGAAAAGTTTTGGCTACCGTCCCTAGGAGTGGAAAAAATTCAGCTCAGGTAAGTGATTGTTTCATCAACTTCAGTGAGTTAGAAATTATTGTGGACTTGTGGAAATTACAACTCCTATGAGTTGCTGCAGAAGTCTTTGAATGGGTCAATGAGCGGATAATGTAGATGACATTCAAGCAATGGGTCCCTCTTCCTCTCCCCTCTTTTTCTGTAGTCTTTAGGCAAACGCTTGTTAATGGTATGTGCTCTTAAACACTGGAATTTACAGAAACAAAATGCAGTGTAATTTTGAACTAAACATTTTAGATCCTTAAGGAATCTTACTAAAGTATTCATCTTGAACGGTTTCTGTTCTTATCCATTAATCCGAGTTTCAGTTTTCCTAGTGAAACAACAATGTGAAAGCCCAATATTTAGTAACACAGTACCCGGCATTAACAGGAAGTCAGTACCTTTTTCCCAAACTGATCTTATCTTAAAATTTCATTTAACAGAGTTTCCTCACACGAAACGACATTTCTCTGGAGTTACCTAATGATGTTGAAACTCAACAGATTTTCCTTTCGGTTAACGGTCTCAAAGTGTCTACTTATGGTCTTTTACAAAAATTCTCGGAAGGATGCCCCTACCCTAACTCAGTAAGTGAGGAAAGTGTAACAGGATGTTCTTTTAAGTTTCCCGGAGTCCAGGAAGCCGGGTAAAGCGCGGTGAGATTGACGTGGGCTTTACCCAATAGCGTTGCAGAGAGGCTTCCCTGTTCGCGGGCGCTCCAGTCGGCACGCAGAGAATTGTTGTCTCTATGGTGAAGGCGGAAGTAACCCTTTCGAGCGCGCCATGGAACCGCTCTTAGAACAGCTGGAGCGCTTTTCCGAAGTTCTGGCGGTCTCCCGCACGAGCCACGTCAGTACCTGGGACTCCGCGACAGTGCGCAGGGCACTACAGTGGGCTCGCTACCTGCGGCATGTCTACCGGCGCTTTGGCCGCCATGAACGCATCCGCACCGCCCTGGAGCGGCGCCTGCACAGCCAGTGGAGGCCGGAGGGCGGCCTTGGGCTGGATTCGGTCCCGGGCCTGACGAACTTCGAGGCCCTCAGGTGCAGTGATGTCCTGTTATCCCTGCGCCTGTTGAGGAATCGGGCCCTGGGGGATGCCGCCTGTTACTACCTGCTGCAGCAGCTCTTCCCCGGCCCTGGCGTCCCAGGCGGCGACCAGGTTTCGCTGCAAGACCAGCTGGCCCGCCTCGCTCGCCGCCGCTCGGCAGTCCACATGCTGCGCGCTAATGGCTATAGAGAGAGCCCGAAGCTTCAGGAGGACCCACTGATGAAGACTCAGGCGGAGCTGCTGCTGGGGCGTCTGCAGGAGGTGGGCTCGGCCCAGGCGGAGAGCAGGAGCAGGTTTCTCGGCAGCCTGTGGGAGCGCTTGCCGCGGAGCAACTTCCTGAAGGTGATCGCGGTGGCGCTGCTCCTGCAGCCGCCGCTGGCTCCCCGGCCGCAGGAAGAGCTGGAGGTGGGCCGTCCCCAGACAGCTGGCGAGGGCAGTCGAGAGCTAGTCCATTGGCTGCTGGAGAACTCGGAGGTCATGGCTGCTTTTTGCCGGAACAACCCAGCGGGGCTTTTAACTTCGGTGGCAGTCCGTTACCCCGCGCTGACTCGCGTCTATCTGGCTCTGCTCACAGACTGGGGTCGGCACCTGCGCTACGATCTTCCGAACGGGGTTTGGGTTGGGGTCGAGACCCAAGACGTGCAGTGGGCGGAGTTGTGTGATAGGTTCCAAAGCCTCTGTCAGAGCTCCACACCTTTGAAAGATGAAGTTCTAACTGCCCTGCAGGCCCTCAAGAAGCAGGATGGAGATTTCGAAGCCCCTGGGCTTAGCATCTGGACAGACCTGCTATTGGCTATTCGCAGCAGTGCATGACACTGCATTTGGGGGGGGGACAACTTTCAGGTCCCAGCCCAGGTCCCAGTTCTCTATGGGCCACGTTTTGTTGCTAATAAGGTGTGTAGTTTGCGGAAGAAAATTCCAGTTTTCCCACCAAATCTCATAATACTTACAGGTGCCCCAAATATAGTTGTTTTAAGTGCTAATTTTGAGTGATTATAATCGTAAATATGCAAAGTAATTGGTTTGTAGTCCATGGATTTTCTAGAGGAGGTGAAATACTGAAAGATTTATACGTAAAGCCATGAAGTTGGCAATAGTTTGCTTTGTTTTTTAGAATGCCCCTTTCTAAGAATGTTGGAACATAGCTACTTTACAAAGGAAAAAAAAAACAGCTTTAAAATGACAATACATCCATTTTTCTGTCCCTGTGACTTTGTTAGATTTCTTTTTATTTCTCCCCAGTAATGAAGCATTTTCTTTAACCACCAACATATAATGGTGTCAAAAATTTAGTTCGAAAAGCTTAGTGGACTATTTGGATTTAAAGGCCTACACTTTGACCTTTTTAGTTTAGTGTTCTAACCAAATAACCAGCCTTAAAGTACATAAAATTATGTTATTTAAAAAGCCTCCTCATTTCTGGAAATTACTGTTCTCTGAAAGAGAAAGAGCACATGGTAAATTTATTTATTTTTTTTTATTTTTTTTTATTTTTATTTTTTTTATCTTTTATTTAATGAATATAAATTTCCAAAGTACGACTCATGGGTTACAATGGCTTTCCCCCCCATACCGTCCCTCCCACCCACAACCCTCCCCTTTCCCACTCCCTCTCCCCTTCCATTCACATCAAGATTCATTTTCGATTATCTTAATATACAGAAGATCAGCTTAGTATACCTTAAGTAAGGATTTCAACAGTTTGTTCCCACACAGAAACATAAAGTGAAAAATAATAGATGATTTTTTTTTTAAATCATGATGAAATCAGATCAGACCTATTGTCATGTTTAATCCCAGTGAGAGTCAAGTTGGGAATTGATAATTTCTTTTTTTTTTTTTTTTTTTTTTTACAGAAGATCAGTTTAGTGTACATTAAGTAAAGATTTCAATCGTTTGCACCCCCATAGAAACACAAAGTGAAATATACTGTTTGAGTACTCGTTATAGCATTAAGCCTCAGTGTACAGCACATTAAGGCCAGAGATCCTACATGAGGAGTAAGTGCACAGTGACTCCTGTTGTTGACTTTACAAATTGACACTCCTGTTTATGGCATCAATAATCTCCCTATGCACCAGTCATGAGTTTCCAAGGCTATGGAAGCCCTCTGAGTTCTCCGACTCTTATCTTGTTTAGACAAGGTCATAGTCAAAGTGGAGGTTCTCTCCTCCCTTCAGAGAAAGGCACCTCCCTCTTTGAAGACCTGTTCTTTCCACTGGGATCTCACTCACAGAGATCTTTTTGCCAGAGTGCCTTGGCTTTCCACATGGTAAATTTAAAGCATTGATTACAACAAATGTTTAAAACATAGTCAATACAAAGATATGTCTTGGGATATTAATTTAGCTCTTGATGGTAAAAGCATCAAACTTCTGAATTAGAAGATCCAGGTTTTAGTGCTGTTTCTGGCATTAATTAGGTTAATAAATCACAACTTTGGTGCTACAGTTGCCTTACAGTAAATGACATGTTTAGACTAAACTAAATTTCCTTATTTTTTCCCTTCCTGGTAGAGTGATTTACAAGAATCAAACTTAAGAGCAATTTATTCTATTTTTCAATTTATTCATTTTTATTAAGAGTTATATAACTATTTTTTAAAATTTATTTATTTATTTTGAAAGTCAGAGTTACAGATTTAGGGGGAGATGGAGAGAGAGATCTTCCATTCTCTGGTTCACTCCCTAGGTGACCGCAAAGGCCAACACTGGGCCATACTGAAGCCAGGATCTAGGAACGTCATCCAGGTCTCCCTTGTGGGTGGCAGGGGTCCAGATACTAGGGCCATCTTTTGCTGCTTTTCCTTGGCCATTAACAGGGAACCGGATCAGAAGTAGAGCAGCTGAGACAGGAACCTGCACCCCTATGGGATGGAATACTGACATCACAGGAAGCGGCTTTAACTGCTACACCACAATGCCAGCTCCAAGATACATAACTTTCCAGAAATCAAGATTTTTTTTTTCCATATCCAGATTAGTTGATAAACAATATTTTTTGGAAAACATTGGAATTGAGAAAGTTCATAGAATTTAACAGAGTTGTATGATCTTGCAGAATTTTTTATTTTGTAGGAGAAACTGGAGTTTTTTTGATAGTCTTAGGTGAACACTATTCTTATTCCCTGTGGTCTGATTCCTTTTTCTAGCTCTAATTCATTTAGACCATCATTTAGATACATTTGCTGTTAATACCAGAATAAAATGAATCCCTTCTGTCACCTACATCAAAATCTTTTTTTTTAAGAAACAGTCCAGTCAAAAATTCTGCCATAGCCAGTCCTAACATAACTTTAGTTTTAGAAAATAGCAGTTTGTTAACTTACTTCCCAATATCTAGCTACATTATGATTTAAGATAAAACAACAAAGATCAGAACAGACTTAAGTAAAGAATATTTTGTGATTTACTTTTATTCTTACCACTTAAGTTCTGTGATGTGTTTTACATAAATAATCTTAACTAATCTGTGCTCCAAGGCTTCATTTGTATAAATATCAATATAAGATGCAAGAAATTAAATAAAATGCCCAGTGGCCTATAGAAAAACAATGTGAGAGAAGAAACTATATTTGTTATTTATTTTGCTTCCAAGAGTCTAGTAGGTTGCGTGGTAGGTACTCAATGTTTAAATAAATGAAACCAGCAGCATAACCTTAATCTGTATACTTTATCTCAAACAATGGTGACAATTTGAAAAGATGGCATTGGATATAGTGACCTTGTTATCTCTCTAAAGATCTATGTGTGGAATAGAAGAAAAAAAGTGAGAGGAAAATTAAATATGAAAGTATTTGAGGGGCCATCACTGTGGCATAGTGGGTAAAGCCACCGCCTGCATCCTATATGGGCTGTGGATCGAGCCCCAGCTGCTCCACTTCCAATCCAGCTCTCTGCTATGGCCTAGGAAGGCAGTGGAGGATGGCCCAAGTCCTTGGGCCCCTGCACCCACGTGAGAGACCCAGAGGAAGCTCCTGGCTCCTGGCTTCAGATCAACAGAGCTCCAGCCATTGTGGCCAACTGGGGAGTGAACCAGTGGATGGAAGAACTCTCTCTCTCTGCCTCTCCTCTCTTTGTGTAACTCTGTCTTTCAAATAAATAAATAAATCTTAAAAAAAGAAAGTATTTGATAATAAAATCTGGAAATGCTCATTTTTTAGTATATCCTATCAAAGGAGGAAACAGTACTGAAATCTCCCATTATGACCCTTGTTCATTAAGTTTTATAATTTTTTATGTAGTTTGAGCAATTTTATGACATCAAATCATGTCTTATATATCATCTTACTGAATTTTAAAACATGCACATGTGTTGTATATCATCTTACTGAGTTTTGTCACATGTAAGCATGACTATATCATCTCACTGAATTGAACCATGCATTTCTAGTGACTACTTTTCTACTTTATTATTATTATTAAGTAGAGTTACAGATAGAGAGGTAGAGACAGACAGATCTTCCATCCACTGGTTCACTCCCTATATGGCCACAATAGCCAGGGTTAGACCAGACCAAAGTCAGCTGCCAGGGCCTCATCTGGGTATTGCACGTGGGTGCAGGGGCCAAGCAATTCAGCCATCCTCCACTGCTTTCCCACGTGCCTTATCAGGGAACTGGATTGGAAGTGGAGCAGCCAGGACACAAACTGATGCCCATATGGGATGCCAGTATTGCAGGCAGCCACTTTACCTGCTATACCATAACACTGGCTCCTAAAATAAGTTAGTATCTTAAAAATTCCTGTTCCTAATGATAAATGGAACTTAGGAAATGTTAACCTTCACCTCTTATCTCTAGACTCAATAATTGTTGTCCAGTATTTTAGTTTGTTCTTCATAAGAAAAAGTGCAGCAAATTAGAACATTGTAATTAGTGTTTTATATAGACAAGTACATTTTGACTTATGTGTCTCATGATTTCAGTTTCCATGGTTGCACCTCAGACATTTTTTGTATAATCAATTTACTTCCTGATTTTTGTTTTACTATAGTTTGTTCTTTAGGAACTCCCTTGGAGAAGGTCTCATGGTGGCAAATTTTCTCAGATATTATCTGCAAATATCTTTGCTCTATTGATGTTGAAGTAGCTTTACAGTGGGCATGATTCTACCTCAACATATTAAAAGTGTTAATTTACTCTTCTGGTTTTAGTAGTTGATGTAAAGCAAGCTATTAATCACTCTAATTACAGTGCTTCATAAATGATCTCTTGTTTATGTTTTTTTTTTTTTTTTGGACAGGCAGAGTTAGACAGTGAGAGAAGAGAGAGACAGAGAGAAAGGTCTTCATCCCGTTGGTTTACCCCTCAAATGGCTGCTATGGCTAGTGCTGCATTAATCCGAAGCCAGGAGCCAGGTGCTTCCTCCTGGTCTCCCATGCAGGTGCAGGGCTCAAGCACTTGGGCCATCCTCCACTGCCTTCTTGGGCCACAGCAGAGAGCTGGACTGGAAGAGGAGCAACTGGGACAAAATCTGGCACCCCAACTGGGACTGGAACCCGGGGTGCCGGTGCTGCAGGTGGAGGATTAGCCAAGTGAGCCGCGGCGCCGGCCTCTGGTATCTTTTAAAATCGTCATTAGTTCAGTGTCTCTAGTCACTTTAGTACATCTAATTGTGAATTTATCTGTTTTTCTTTATTACTGTAGATTGCATTTCAGTTATGGATTTGTGTTTTCATCTGTTCTAGAAGATTCCCAACCAGTTTTCCTCCCAATGTTTCTTTTTCTTCACATTTTGTAATTTCTCCTGCATCTATATTAAGACTTCTCATACTATTTTTATTTTCTATAACTGATATTTCTTGGTTTCTATTACTCTTCTTCTGTGGAAACAACTGTTATATCCCAGAATCTAAATCCCCATTTTCGCTTTAGTGATAATAGCCTACCTCCAGGTTTTAGCTCAGTTTGGCCACCCAGCTTCAGAGTAACTTTTCTAATTTTCACCAATGTCAACTGTGGCTATAATGCTAGAAAATTCACTACTTTTATAAGAAATTTTAAAAAGTTCATGGAAAATACACATTATGAAAAAATACATCATTTTAAAAACTTTTTTTGCCCAAATAAATTTGCTTTTTAAATTCCATTTGGCCAGGTCCCACATTGTATAGTGGGTTAAGCCTCTGCATGTGATGCTGGCATCCCATAGCAGAGCCCTGGTTTGAGTCCCAGCTGCCTTGCTTCTGAGCTAGTTGTCTGTTAATGGTCCTGGGTCAGCAAAAGAAGATGATACCAGTACTTATACCCCTGCTACCCATGTGGGGTGGAGACTGGGGTGGAGTTCTAGGCTCCTGGCTTTGGCCTGGCTCTGGCCTGGCTCAGCTCTCACTGCTCAGCCTTTTGGAGAGTGAACCAGAGGAAGGAAGATCTTTTACTTTGTCTCTCTTTCTTTCTTTGTGACTCTGCCTTTCAAATAAATATAAAATCTTCCATCCACTTCCATCCACTGGTTCACTCCCAAGATAGTGTCAATGGCTGGAGCTGTGCCAATCTGAAGCCAGGAGCCAGGAGTTTCTTCTGTGTCTCCCACGTGGGTGCAGGGGCTTAAGACTTGGGTCATCTACTACTTACCCAAGCCATAGCAGAGAGTCATATTGGAAGCTGAGCAGCTGGAACTTGAGCCAGTGCCCATATGGTATTCTGGCACAGCAGGTAGCAGCTTTACCCACTATGCCACAGCGCTGGCCCCTGATTTTATCTATTTTCATAGCTTTAAATACTGCTTACATGCTGTTCGTTGCACAATTCACATTTCTAGTGCAGACCTCTCATCAGAGCTTCAGAATTAATCCATAATGAATCTCTCAAAAACTGTTCAAGCCAAAAAAAAAAAAAATCCAAAATAGTTCCTATTGTCTCTACAGAAGCCTGCTATGTCCAGGTATTTCTCAATATGCTTGTGAATTATCTTTGAATTATTTATTTTTTGGTGAGTCTCACAGTCATTCTATCAGTGTATCTATTTTTCTCTATGTTCTGTTCACCACCCTGGCGTAGACCAGAGAAACCATAAGTCTGTGTTTGCTTTTGGATTTGCCATATTCCCTGATTTCAAAACAAAGCAACTGTAAACAACATGGTATTGACAGAAAAAGAGACACATGAATTAAAAGCATAAGATAGAGAGCTTATAAATAAAACCACATAATTTATGGTCAACTGATTTTTAACAGAGGTGCTAAAAAAACACAATTGGGAAAGAGCAGTCTCTTTAATATAAGGGTTAATATCTATAATACATAATGAACCCAAAACAGCTCATTGAAGGAAATTAAATAGCCTGACTGAAAAATGGGCAAAGGACTAGACAGATGTTTCTTGAAAGAAGACCCACAAATGACCAAAATATATGTAATAAAATGGTCAGAATCATTAGGAAAAGAAAATTAAAAGCATAATGAGATACCACTTCGTATATTTTAGAATGACTTTTATACAAAAGATGAGAGATAACTGTTGCAGAGGAAATGGGCAAAAGGAAACTCTATATATGATCGGAATATATATAAGTAGAGTCATTATGCATGTGGTATGGAGGTCCCTCATAAAACAGAACTTCCCAGTTATCCCACTTCTCTAAAAACACAAAGAAACTGCAGTAAATATGTTGAAGGGTTGTCTGCATACCTGTATTCATTGCAGTATTATTCACAATAGACAAGTTAGAGAAACATAACATCCTGTGTTAATCCTTAACTAGGGATGGATTCTATCATTTGGAACATGGATGATTTGAGGACATTTTAAGCTAAGTGAAATAAACTAATATCACATGATCTCCCCAGCATGTTGAACTACTACAGAGTCAAATGATGGTTATCAGAGACTAAAAACAGAAGAAAAGAATAGATAGTTGTAGGCCGGCGCCATGGCTCAATAGGCTAATCCTCCACCTGTGGCTCCAGCACACTGGGTTCTAGTCCTGGTCGGGGCGCCGGATTCTATCCCGGTTGCTTCTCTTCCAGTCCAGCTCACTGCTGTGGCCCGGGAGTACAGTAGAGGATGGCCCAAGTGCTTGGGCCCTGCACCCCATGGGAGACCAGGGAGAAGCACCTGGCTCCTGGCTTCGGATCAGCGCAGTGTGCCAGCCAATGAGGCCACTGGGGGGGTGAACCAACGGCAAAAAGGAAGATCTTTCTCCCTGTCTCTCTCTCTCACTATCCACTCTGCCTGTCAAGAAGAAAAAAAAAAAATAGAAAAAAAAAGTAATTGATCAAAGCATACAAAGTTTCAGACAGGAGAAATAGACTTTTAAAAATTAAATGTTTATTTTCATCTACTTGAAAGGCAGAATGACAGAAGAGAAGAAATCTTTGATTTACTGGTTCACTGCCCAAATGCCCACAACATTATGACTGGAGCAGGTGGGAGCCAGGAACTCCATTCAGGTCTCCCACATGGATGACAGGGGCCCAAACATTTGAACCATCATCTGTTGCCTCCTAGGATGCATTGCCAAGACTTGAAGAGGTACTCAGATATGGGATGTGGGCTTCCCAAGCAGATGCTTAACCTGCCACAGTGCAACACCTGCTCCAGGGAATAGATTTTGAGGTACATTATACAGGAGAGTAAGTATAGTCCATCATAATATAGTCTATATTTTGAAGTAACTAAGGATAAATTTCAAATGTCTCACCATAAAAAATGACAAGTAAGGTGAAAACTTGATTTAATCATCCTACATAGCATGCATTTATCAAACATCACATTATACCCCAAAGCTATATACAAGTATGATTTGTTAATCAAAATTACCTGGTATGATTGATTTATGCTGTGTATATCATTGACGTATTTCTTGTGTTTCATGAAATGTTTACATGTCATTAATATTAAAGAAATAAAATAATTCAAAACTAATATTAATAATTTTAAAATATAATGAGAGCTTGCTTGCTCAGGACAGATTTGGAATATGCTTGTTTTATTGTGATTAATACAAGTGTCTTCTTTGTTCTCTAGGGTGCCCTGACAATGTATGTGATCACTGATCCCAACCACCGTATCTTTGCCAGATGATTGTGATTGTGACTTGACTGGTTTTTATTTTTTTTTATTGTACCTATATAATGTATACTTTACCTAACTGCCCAGCTAGTGAACTTGAAATCATATTTACTGACAAATATGAAGTGACTGGAAGATAACTTGGACTCTCATCACAACATGTAACTGTAAGCATCTCTACCGACTTCACTATCTGCTTGTTTTTAGTGACAAATTATTCTATGTTAAGCCAATTGCTATACTTATACACTAAATTTCATTCCCTCCCATCCACTCAAGATCATAGCTCCAGCAGTTTTCTTCCTCTCTTACATATGCAGCATAGACACACAGGCTGCTACTTATACCACCTTAAACAAATTAAACAAAACCATCCCTATTTCACAAAGCAGATATTGGCTTTATTTGCTTTCCTTTGCAGCTAACTTCTTGAACACTTCTCATTTTCCCTTAAGACTACCCCAATCTAGACTTTGCTCTGGACCTTGCCATTTCGTCAGAAGACACATGTTTTCTACATTGCCAAATCCAGCAGTCTGTTCTCAGATCGTATTTCTTTTTAATCCATCTGGAAAATTTGGTAGCTGATGTCTTTCTTCTTGTTATGTTCTTGCTGTTTGGCTTCCAGGGTATTATTGTCTCTTGGTTTCCCTCTACCTTTACTGTCACTCCCTTATAATATTTTCCCTACTCTCTTTAAACTCTCAATATTGAAGTGCTCCAAGACTCACTCCTTCTCTATCTTTTTAATAATTTTGTCCTGTCAGCAACTTTAACATCATCTGTGAGTGACTGATACTTTTCTCCAACTTGGATGTCTTGCTGAAACTCCAGACCTATACATCACTCAGCTACTACTTTTGGACCTAAAACTTAATGTGTGTCGAATCTACTTGATCAGCATCCTTCATCTCTGTTACTAGCAACTCTATTCTGATTTGCCCACTCCAAAAATATTGGAATTATGCATCTTTACCCATGCATGCCAGCTGACTTTATTAGCTCAACATTCTGAATATAATCACAATTTGACAACTTTTTACCATCTATATTGCTAAAACCTGACTCAGTTATTGTATCGTCTCTTACTTGACTTTCTGCAGCAGCTTAAAGGACAGCTTTAGAGTCACAGCAAATTGAAGATGGTACAGAGACTTCCTTTACTTTCCTCATGTGTATGGGCTTCACATTATTGATATCTCCCACAAAAGTGGTGTAGTTCTGCGGACCTAACACTATAGCATCATTATCACCCAAACCCATTGTTTACATTAGGGTTTAGTCTAAATGTTGGACATTCTATGGATTTGGATGGGTGTATAATGACATTTAACATTATGTTATCATATAGAGTTGTCCCATTGCCCTGAAAATCTTTAGTGTTCTGTATACTTATCCTTTCTTGTACTCATTCCTGGAATCTATTGATTTATTTTTATTGTCTTCATAGTTTTTCCATTTACAAAATGTCATATAGTTGAGATCATTCTCTATATAGGATTTTCAAACTGGCTTCTTTAACCTAGTAATGTGCACTTAATATTTTCATGGCTTATAGGTCATTACTGTTTAGTGCTGAATAGCATACCATTGCCTGAAAATGTACTGTTTATTTATCCATTCACCTACTAAGGACATGCCAGTTGCTTCCAAATTTGGCAATTGTAAGTAAAAGCTTCTGTAAACACTTTTGTGCAGATTGTTGTGTAGACATATATTTTCAGCTCCTTGGGGCAAATACCAAAAAGCATGATTGCTGGACCACATGGTAAGAGCATGTTTAGTTTTGTAAGAAACTGCCAAGCTGTCTTCCAAAATGGCCATTTTGCGTTCTGACCAGCAATGAATGAGAGTTCCTGTTGCTAATCATCAGCATTTGGTGTTGTCTGTGTTCAGGATTTTAACCATTGTAATAGGTCTATAGTAGTATCTCATTGTGTTAATTTGAGATAGTCTTTTAGTCAGACATTCTTGATTTCCTCTTGGTCTCTCTATTATCCATTCTGAATAATGCAGGTAGAATGGCTTAAATTAAAGAACATTGTGGTATTCCTCTCTAAAATCCTGTGCTGGCCTCTCTTACTATAAAGTTGTTCTAATGGCATATGCAGTTTTATATGATAAGCACCATCTCTTTTACTCTTCTGCCTTTTCTTCTACTCTTTCCCTAATTCCTCTGCCTTCTTTCTAATCACACTACCTTCTTTGCTGCTCTTAGAATATGTCAGTCATGGTCCTGCCTTATACCTGTTTTTGCTGCCTATAGAACTCTCCCTGTTATCTATTTAGCTAACACCCTTACTTATTTCATGTATTTGCTCAATTCTCATTCTTCAAGGGTTAGTCAAAGTATTCTATTTAATATAGCTGTTTTTGTAACCACAAGACTGCTCACTTTTATCTCTTGCCCTCATTCAGAACCTCTCTCTACTGTTACATTCTTTCCTTTCCTATGGAAATTTAATCCCCATCCACTAATATGCTGTTTAGTTATTTATTATGTTTATTATGACAATGATGATTTAGTTTCCTCCATCCCTCAATATAAGTAAGTTCTGTTAGAGCAGGGTGTTTCATATTTTGTTCAGTAAAATATCTCGAGAAGAGAATGATCTTAGCACAAAAAAGATCAGAAATTATTTGTTAGATTAATATATGAATGTATGAAGATGATTTTACAAAGGCAACTTTATGATCTCACTGATCTGCTAAAAAAAAACTCTGTGACTTCCTATTCTACATTGAATAAAGACCACTTTCTTTCTTGCATGACAAGATCAAATGTATATTTTGCTTATCTTTTTAATTTTTTTTTATTTGACAGATAGAATTAGACAGTGAGAAAGAGAGACAGAGAGAAAGGTCTTCCTTCCATTGGTTCAAACCCCTGAATGGCTGCTATGGCCAGAGCTACGCCAATCCGAAGCAAAGACACAGGTGCTTCCTCCCAGTCTCCCACACAAGTACAGGGGCCCAAGCACCCAGGCCATCCTCCACTGCCTTCCTGGGCCACAGCAGAGAGCTTGACCGGATGAGGAGCAACCGCGACTAGAACCCAGCGCCCACATGGGATGCCAGGGCCGCAGGCGGAGGATTAACCAAGTGAGCCACGGCACCAGCCTCCTCTTGCCATTCTTTTTAAATACATTCACAAAACACAAGAATTCTTTCAATATATACAAATATAATTAATCTCTTAATTTCCTTCAGGCCTCCCATTTTCCTATTAATTGCAGTTTTGTTGTTCATGCGTGTCTGTATCTTCTACTGGTCCACAAGCTCAGTAAGGACGACACTGCCTGTTTTCCTTGCCATTGAAGATACAAGTGTCTTATACCATAACTGACATATATTAAGTCATTGATAACTAGTTTTAAATGTATAAGAATACATTTCTTAGAGTATTATACCCTGGATTATATATCTAAAAATATGTCATTTTAATAGTGACTACAACGAGTATACATCCAAGCAAGAGCAGTAGGGGATCTGGTACCAATAGATGGTGACATTTCCACACAATGCTACACTGAAAGATCTTCTAAATCCCCTTTGTTGCACTTGAATTGGATAAACATCCACCAATGTCAAGATTTAGTTGTTGTGATTAAATTTCCACTTTTACTTGATATTTATAAGTGTTTTTTCTTTTTGGAGTTTTGGAGCTCTAAAACACTATACGAACTCAGTAAAGAAGGATCCGTATTCCGTGGCTAACAGTGGATATAGGATATTCACTATTAACGTACATTAATTAACATAAATGCTCTGGGAAGAAACTATTGATTTCCCTCAGGGATTAATTGGAAATGATCAATCACTATATTAGAAGTGTGGCAGTAATATCGTTTATCAGATGCCAGTTGTTATAGTGGGCGAAGAATACCCTCTTGGCTTAGAAATATGGAGACCCTAAGGAGAAGGAGCTTAAATCATTACAATAATTGACGGATATACAACTGTTTCTTAGATCTTCATTACTCTTAATATCGGGATTAAGGTTTGAATTCAGAAGAGTTTACAGTGCCTTAAATTCACATTGTAGTTTTATACTTTCATAAAAGATAAGGACTTGCATTGTAGAAATTTTTACATATAGTGACTCAGAAATATAACAATGAATAATCAGTTTATATTTTATATTTATACATAGAATACAAATACTATTATCAAACTCTCCATGAAATATATAATAATCTCTGAATCTGGAGCATTATTTAAAATTTATTTTTAGAAAGTTGATCTCACACATCAATATTTAAAATAAAATTATGTTTATGGAAAATTTATTTGTTAATTACTAAAAACTAAACCTCCTTACTTTTATATATAACCTTTCAGCTTTATATTTGTGTTGTGAATTTTAGGTTCATTCATGTATCTTATAAACACTTGATCACCTCTATGTCAAGGTGATTTAATGTGCTAAAGATGATGGTAAACCAATTTAAATAATTTATATATCTTTATGTTATGATCCAAATTTCTCTTTTTTAAAGAAAATACACATGGAAACCTGTATGTAATGAATAAATTACATGTACAGACCAATACTGGATCTTTTCTACCCTCAACAATTGTTCAAATCTCTATGGGGTGGCTGTTAAAATATTCATTATGATACCAAGCATCTGACATAATATCAATTTTTTCTAAGATATTCTGTGTGAGGCTATACATATATTCATGAGCATTGACAGTATGCCAAAATGGAATTTAAAAGACAGCATACTGTTAGCTTTCAGTGAGAGTAGATGCATCCATGAACAAGAAAGTGTAAATTCTTTGCCAATCCCACAATTTAGGTACCTAAAAATATTATCTCAGTCAGAATCCCCAATAAAATTTCAAATAATCTTTCACTAGTAAATTGAACAAAATGTGGAATAGCAAAATCAATGCAGATTATCAATTGTTTTATAGTCTTTTCTAGAAGTAAAGTGATCTCACAATTTTATAATAAATATCCTGGAAAGATAATATATTCGCTATTTAACAAAACAGAAAAAGGTAAAAATCAGGCTCATATTTTTTAATGATTTCCAAGAATATTCAGTAGTTTATGCAAACATTAATAGCCAAGAATGGTGGTGAGATTGTAAGGATATATTCTCTAGTCTGTTTTTCCAATAATTGCAGAAAACATGTGTTCCTGGTGCTGCTAGTTTGAAATTGTTATTGGAAACATAAAATAAATTACAAGTGACTAACAAGAGCAATTTACAGAAGATACACGATATAGCTCGCTAGTCAGCAGACGTGGGCTGCATATGGAATTGCTATCGTAACCAAAACTAATCAAGAGCAGTCACCAGTTTCTAATTATAGCCGGAAAGCAGTGAACCTTGTGCACTGCACCAGCAAATTGGCCCCTGTAGATTCAAAATGATTTCACTGTTTGTCATTATTGATGTTAGTTAACACAGAGTATTTGAAGAATATGATTCCTACAATTTGTTAATAGTATATCCATATTTACTTTCTAGTTCTGTTAATGTACTATTATAATTACTGCTACAATAGCACAATTAGAAGATATGAATAATTCCATTTAAAATTAAAAGAAGAATAAAAATATTTTTTGTATGGTGTGAGATCTAAAGGGTAACTAAGGAGACAAAATTGGGAAATACATTTAAAGATTTGTAAATTGGCTTTCTTTAATGATGATTTTTCTGGGTAAAACATTATCTCTGGATTATCTTGAATAAAGTTTTTTTTTTTTTTTTTTTTTTTACTATTGTAAGCTTCTGTGTTCTCATACAATTTGGATAAGAATAATAGTTACATCTTCCTTCATTAAAGCAGTTAAGAGCATGACGACATATTCAATATTTTCTTTTGGCCATATTTTAGAGTAAATTTCTCAGTGACACATTGTTTTATCCGTCCTTCACCTGAGAATGTCTCGATTTTTGATGGATAATTGGGAAGATGTAAAATTTGAGTCTGACGATTCTTTTTTTCCAGCATTTGAAAATGTGCTATTTCCCTCTGGTATCTGTTGTTTCTGATGACAAATCTGTCGTTTGAATTATCTTTACACTCTAGGCAAAGTAACTTCTTTCTCCATTGTGGGCTTTTTCTTTGTTTATGGTTTCTACAATTTGATTTTGGTATATTTCTGTGAATTTCTATGGCTTTTTTGAATTTTAAAGTTTTTGAATCTATAAATTTATATTTTTGGCAGATTGGGAAAACGTTAGTCACTGTTTTACAATATTTATTTATCCACATTCTTTCTTCTCACTTTCCTGGATTCCAAGGACAGTTAGATATTTTCTTTTAGCACAACAGTTCCTTGAGTTTCTGTTCATGTTCCATGTTTTGGTCTACATTCTTTCTTTGGTTCAGGTTGGGTAATTTCTACTATTCTATTTTTGAGTTTACTGATTCTTTCTTATTTTTCCTATTTTGCTGTTGAGCTGTCCACACCATTAAGGTTTTTTTTTGTTTTGTTTTGTTTTGTTTTGTTTTTTTACAGGCAGAGTGGACAATGAGAGAGAGAGAGAGACAGAGAGAAAGGTCTTCCTTTTTGCCGTTGGTTCACCCTCCGATGGCCGCCGCTGCCAGCACGCTGTGGCCGGCGCACTGTGCTGATCCGATGGCAGGAGCCAGGTACTTCTCCTGGTCTCCCATGGGGTGCATGGCCCAAGCACTTGGGCCATCCTCCACTGTACTCCCTGGCCACAGCAGAGAGCTGGCCTGGAAGAGGGGCAACCGGGAAAGAATCCGGTGCCCCGATTGGGACCAGAACCTGGTGTGCTGGCGCCGCAAGGCAGAGGATTAGCCTAGTGAGCCGTGGCGCCGGCCCCATTAAGTTTTTATGTTAGTTTTTGTGTTTTTATGTTTCTAATATTTTTGCTATATTATTTTTATATCTTTTCTTTCTTTGATAATTTGCATTTTTTTTTCATTTGTTTCAAGAGTGTAATCACTCAGTGGACCACTTTTGGAATTATTGTTTTAATACCTTGGTCATTTTGGTATTATTATCTGTTAATTTTCTTTTATTGTTCTCTAAGAAAATATTTTTATCATTGTAAATTTATTTTCTTTTATCCAACATGAGAAAAAATAACTCCTTGGAAGTTATAATAATAATAATAATAGAAGACATTATTTGTAATGTTAAGACCTAGTGCTTTCAACAAAGAGTTTACAAACCTTTAACATCTCAAAAGATAACCCTGAGTTATCATGCCCCAAATGGCTGGGAGCCAGGAACTCTCAGGTTTCCAAGGTGCATATTACCAGGAAGCTAGAATCAGAAATGGAGCTAGAAATAGAGCCAAGGTACTCCAGTATGGGATGTGGGCATCCTGACCGGTGGCTTAACTGCTAGACCAAATACCTGTCCCTAGATTTGTACTTAATTTTGATGGAGAAAGACAAAAAAAGAAAGCATCATTATACTTGAAATTGATATTAAAAAACAAGAAAGCAAGCATGCCTTGCACTTTCCTTAGCCTTGTACATATACCTCTTCTTGAGATATTGGTAGTGTTTCTAAAGGAACCAACAGTTTCTAGTTGAATGAACAAAACATTGGAGTGATAAGTTGAGAGTTGTGGGACCTAGAGGAAGTTTAAAATTTATTGAGCATATAAGGCCAGTGCTGTGGCATAGCAGGCAAAGCCACCTCCTATAGCACTGGGATACCATATGGATGCTTGTTTGAGAACCAGCTGTCCCACTACCAATCTGGCTCCCTGCTATTGTGCCTGAGAAAGCAGCAGAAGGTGGCCCAAGTTCTTGGGCCCCTGCAACATCGTGGGGGACCTGAATGAAGCTACGACTCCTAGCATAAGCATTTCCCAGTTCTGACTGTTATAGCCATTTGGGAATAAACCAGTGGATTGAAGATTCTCTCTCTCTTTTCTTTCCGCCTCTCCTTCTCTGTAATTCTTTCAAATGAATAAATAAATAAATCTTTTTTAAAAATTTGCTGAGCATCTGCTATTTATTTGCCAGATACTTTGCTAGGTTTTCTCCTTAGATTACTTTATTTAATCACCATCATAATTCTATGAATTGAATAGCTTTGTGTTCATGTTATAAATGAGAAATGAAAGATCATAAATGTTAAATCATTTGTCCAGGGTCTCTCAATTTTTCAGTGGAGTTGTGTGTTACAACTTCTTATTTTTAAAACTTTGTCCTGTCCTATACTGCAATGATTTTTCACTGTAGACCATTGACACAGAGTTTATGGGAAAGCACTTAAAGAGTCTAGAAATATCTATATTTATATCTCTCTATATGTATATATATATAGAAAGAAATATTTATTTATTTACTTGGAAGTCAGATTTACTCAGAGAGAGGAGTGGCAAAGAGAGAGAGAGAGAGAAAGAGAGAGAGAGGTCTTCCATCTGCTGGTTCACTCCCCAGTTGGCCGCAATGGCTGGAGCTGTGCTGATCTGAAGCCAGGAGCCAGGAGCTTCCTCCTAGTCTCCCATGTGGGTGCAGAGTCCCAAGGACTTGCACCATTTTCCACTGCTTTCCCAGGCCATTGCAGAGAGCTGGATTGGAAGTGGGGCAGCTGGGGCTCAAACCAGCACCCATATGGGATGCTGGCACTGCAGGCAGCGGCTTTACCCACTACAGCACAGCACCGGCCCCCAGAAATATATATTTGTTTATGTATGGATAAGCAGATACATGGATATTGATAAAAGTAAATTCATTAAGAGCAAGGAGAATGTCTGATAGAGTGGCTCTTATTGAGCAGAATAGGATGAAAGACATGATACGGAAAATACGAAAAGATACCACTACCACCACTGAAAGACAGAAAAAAAGAGCATGAGAAGGGAGAAGAAAAGGGGGGAGAGGGAAAAGGAAGAACAAGAAGGAAGGAAAGAAAAGGAAGGAAGGAAGGAAGAGAGGGAGGGATAGAGGGAGAAAGAAAAAGTTTAGCATATAATAAAAAAGGGTTAATATATTCTTGAAGATCATGTTTCAATTCTTTTAATGACTTCAATGGAAAAAGAGTTCAAAGTAAGCATAGAGAAGAGAGATTGTAAAATTAAATAGTGATGGCCGGCGCTAGACTAAATGTTCGCAGACCTTATATGGACAGCA